TTTTAGTTCTATTACTGACTTAACCATCGGAGTGCTTTCAATCGAAACACTTCGGTTTTAGGCAGTTTGTTTGTTTTGCAGGAAGCAGAAACTGAAAAATCAAGTTCAGAGCTCATTCTTATTAGAAACATTCATTATTTATTCTTGTAAGAGGTATCCTCATTTTTTACCTCTTATAGAAGTTTAGTGCAAATCTTCACTGCACACCAATTTTTATCTTTACTAAAAAAGAAACTACCTAGCAGCCTTTGTTGATGAAGGGACTGCAACCTTCAACACACCTCCTTACCTTTGTAAGTCACTTTTATTATGAACTAGTTGGTGTATATGAACTAGTTGATATACACGTATTTTGCACGTGGGCAATCTCATTAAAAATATTTTATTTGGTACTAAAATTAAAAAAAGTGATCCCAATATTACAAATAGTTTAATTAAGCTCAATAAAATTGTGATTTTAATTTTTTTTTTATATTTTTGGAGAGTAGGGAATCAAAGGCTAAAAAAATTTCAATTTCTATTTGCTTAGCCCAAAATAAATAATATATTTCAAATGTACATAAACCAATGTCTTTTCAGATTTTACTGTTCAATATAAAGCTCAAGACGTAAACCTCCGACACAAAAATTCAATCAAAGTATCAGATAAATTATTGTGATTATTACAATTTTAACACCTTAATTTGATATGCATTAAGCAAAAATAGTAGGATTAAACTCAATAAAACAGTATTTATATATTGATCATTATTTTGTAAAATCTATATAATAAAATAAAATATAATTCAAATCTTAAAAGATAAACAAAATGAGTTTTACTTTTCGCGGTTGAGATATCTTTAAATTTTATTTTAAAGTTAATTTGACGACTAATATTAATACTCTAAATTTAATAAGAAAAATAAGATCCTAAAAGTGTGTTTGAGGTGAATTTTGAAAAGTGCTTCTAGAACATAAGTATTATTAACAAAAAAAATAGTGTTTGGAACAACTCCATTATCACCGCTCCCACCACGCTACCACCATCACCACCACCACTACCCCAAACCACGACCACGACCACGACCACCATCGCCTCACCACTACTGCCACCACCACGACCACCGCCACCACCTCTATTACAACAACCACCGCCGGCGTCGCCACCCCACCCCCACACCCCACCATCACTATACCACCAACCTTACCACCACCACCTTGCTAACACCCTACCACCACCACCACTACCATAACCACCACCCCCACCACTATAACCATCGCTCCCACTCCCACCATTACCTCTGCAACAACAATAACCACCGCCGCTACCGTCACCCCACCAAAATTGTCCCTCCATCACCCCTACCACCACCATCCCCACCGTCTCACCACTCTTCTGTCAACTATCACCACTACCACCACCACCATCGCCACCGCCATCACTGCCGCCCTACCACCACAATCACTAGCCAAACCATCACCACTGCCCAACCACCACCACTAGTGCCCTCACTAATGATTGCTACCACCATCGTCCACCGTCACCATCCACCATCATCATCTTCTCATTCTTATATTTATTACCCCTACCACCATCATCCCACTACCACCATCGCCCACCGTCAACACCAACTACCACCACTATTGCCCACTGTCAACCACCACTACCTGTTGTTGCTCGCCATCGCCGTTAGCCATTGTCACCCACCCCCACCACACTTACCACCACCGCCATTCTCCACCACTCATCACATTGTTGCCTAGAAATGCCTGCCATTGACTACCACCACCATCATCCATGCCACAACCACTATCGTCGCCCCACTACCACTACTACTAACCACCTTCACCGTCGCCCACCATTACCCACACCTACCACCACAACCGTCGTCACCCATAATTGTCATTACTATAATCGTCACCCAAAACCCACCACCACTATCACCATTACGACCCACAGTTGCCACCACCACTGTGTGTTTGAGGTGGATTTTTAAAAGCGCTTCTAGAACGTAAGTATTATTAACAAAAAAAGTAGTGTTGGGAACAGCTCCATTATCACCACTCCCACCATGCCACCACCATCACCACCACCACTACCCCAAACCACGACCACCCCACCACTACTCCCACCACCACGACCACCGCCACCACCTCTGTTACACAACCACCGCCGATGTCGTCACCACCACTGTCGCCACCCCACCCTCACTACCTCACCATCGCTATACTACCAACCTTACCACCACTACTGTTGTTGACACCCTACCACCACCACCACCACCACTATAACCACCGTCGCCACCCCACCACTACCTCTGCAACAACAACAACCATCGTCGCCGCCATTATCCCACCAACACTGTCCCTCCATCACCCCTACCACCACCATCCCTACCGTCTCACCACTCTTCCGTCAACTATCACCACACCCACCACCACCACCACTACCATCGCTGTCACCCTACCACCACGACCATTAGCCCCATCATCACCACTGCCCCACCACCACAACCACCCTCATCACCGATTGCTACCACCGTCGTCCATCGTCACCATCCATCACCATCGTCTTTTCATTCTTATATTTATTACCGCTATCACTATCATCTCACTACCACCATCACCCACCGTCAACACCCACTACCACCATTGTTGCCCACCGCCAACCATCATTACTTGTCATTGCTCGCCATCGCCGTCAGCCGCTTCACCCACCCCCACCACACCTACCACCACCGCCATTCTCCACCACCAATTACATTGTTGCCTAGAAGTGCCTGTCATTGCTTACCACCAACATCGTCCCCGCCACCACCATTGTCGTCGCCCCACTACCACTACTGCTAACCACCATCACTGTCGCCCACCACTACCCACACCTACCCACCACAATCGCCGTCACCCATTACTGTCACTACTACAATCGTCACCCAAAACCCACCACCACTATCACTATTGCGACCCACAATTGCCCCCACCACAATCATCGCCACCCACCACAATCATCTCCGTTTTTCTACCACCACCACTACTGCTCACCACCGCTACCACCGCTCATCCTTACTACAATTGATGCTTCAATTTCGTTCTCTCTCTTCTATGTTTGTGATTTTATTTTAGGTGTGAATACAAATATATTGATTGTTGAGCTTTTTTTATTACTGCGTGCCTTCAGACACGAGAAATAACTAATCTAATTATATTTGGCATTATAAATATATACGCAATGAAGAGATAGACTATCCAATACGCAGTTATGTCATATACATGACATGCTCACCATAAAAGAGAATCACAAAATCTTACTTTCTTAACTACTTGTTGTTCAACACTTTTGTAGATTTCTTGAAATATTTTTTCCGATATAGAATGAAAAAATATAATGAAGAGTTGAAGTTGAAAGTAATTATCCAACCATCAACATACAAGGAAAAATCACAAGCTTTTTTTTGTTTTTGGAAAAATTGCAAGCTCCCACACATATAAATAAGGACAAAAGTGATTACCTAAGAATCGAGTTTTATGATATAGAGAGGACACTTTCACATCAAACAAATATATCAAGCAAGAATATTTTTATAGCAATTCTTGAAACCTAGTAGGAAAGAGGGAAAAATTTGTAATTTTTTTTGAAATTACCATAAACTCTTAATTTTTCAATGTCCATAAAACCCAAACATCAACTTAGGAGAAAATTTTCAAACTTTCTTGTCGTGACAAAAACCTTTTGGCCTAAAAATATTAAAACCTCAAATAAATTGATGTGGTTAGAATTAGAATACCAAAAGTTACCGAGCCCAATATGTGGGGAAACAAAAAGGTGGTAGTGCACATCATTAGAGTTGAAATCAATAACTAAGTTGAAATGAATACATAAAATACTTAGCATATGTACATAACTAAGAGCAACTCCACTAATGCTATCTAAAATAACTACTCAAAATATATTTAAATATTGTACTATTTACTTTAACTAACCACTTTTTTAAAGTCACTCTAACCACGCTACCTATTTTAACTAACCATTTCAACTATCTTTAATTAACTATTAATTATTAAAATCTAAAATTCTAACTATTAATTATTAAAATCTAAGAATTGAGGGTTTTGCTAGATTTTTGGGGGGTTTTGTTGGATTTTTGGGAGGTTTTGCTAGATTTTTGAAGGGGTTTTACGGGATTTGGAGGGGGGTTTACTGGATTTTAATCTCAACTCATCGTCTTCTCCATTTTACTGGATCTGGTCCTCTACGATGAAGAAAATACATGCTTCACACAATTCATCTACTACCACAATTCATCTCTTCCGGCTTCCCACAATTCACGTCTGTGATGAAGACGATGAAGCCTTCTGTGGACTGAGCTTCTATTGAGTTAACGATTTGATTCAGAGTGATGTGCAGAGATGAAACCTGGACTGGACGAAGAACCCTCTGTCTAGTTGACGAAGAACCCACTGTCTGCGATGAAGCTTTCTGTTGGTGCAAAAACACAGTAGCGAGCTTCTTTGTCTCGCCAGGAATAGCCAGCCAAACGAAGTTTATGGAAAACAGCTAGTGTGATAGCTAGCCTGTTGGAGATAAGATTTAAGGATTGTCTATGTAAAATAGCTAAGAAGTGCATTTTAACAAACTTGTTGGAGTTGTTCTAAGGGCCTGAACCAATTTTTCCAAACTCCAATTCTTTGGTAAATATAATGTTAGGCATAATGTTAGAGAAGTATGCTAGTAGATGCCATTTAGCCATCAACCATTGATTTAAGGGGGAAGACTTGAACCTGAGGGAAGTTATCCTCTCTCTGGTGATCTGTGTGATAATTCCAAACAATGTGTCACTATGCTTGAACTAATTTTTGAAGATCCTGTTGTTTCTTTCCCTCCAAAAACAGTACAATTAATGCTCAATTTTTGCAACATAACAGTCAATCCTTTCCCTTTCCACCTCTGAGTTGCCCAACTATAAAATCATTCCATGGTCCTAAGAACCATGTTAGTCCACTCTATTGCATCAGCTTCCTCCTTATACTGTGAGATTATTGACAATCAAATAATAAGTGACTATGAGACTCTGAACCCATCTATAGAGTATACACTCCAGCTGCTGTTGTGGGTTAAATGATTGCAATCTATTCCTGGTGCTAACTTTGTTCCTCACTGCAGGGCTAGATTGCAATAATGACCTAAATAGTATCATTAAGTTTAGATTAGATTCTTACACAGATATATTTTTCCTATTAGCCCGTGATAAATAAATGTTTAGAGGTCTCAAATCATGAACCACTTATCTTATTGAATATTTTGACCAAGCAAATTAGAATCCAAAAGATGTCCCACATGTCTATTCAGCATTTGGCTACTATCTTCAAACATTTTTATGACTTGATTGGATTCAAACTAATTGTGTTTTAAATAATGGAAGCTATTCAGTATATATATTTATTTTTTATATTCTCATAAAGTGTTTTAAGGGAAGAATTCTAGCTAAAAAATACAAAGTTTGAAGTAATGAACTTCTTGTAATTATGAAATTTACTTTAAAAAATTTGGTGTTTTCAATCTCGCCGGACCGGCTGGCCGGGCAATGCTGGCACATGTCAAACCCATGCATAAGTGTACTGTGCATGAGATTTTCTTTAAATAGCTCTTTCTTAAAGGGAAGTTTAGTGCAAATCTTCACTGCCTTCAATTTGTACCTTTCCTAAGAAAGAAACTACCTACCTGATGGCCATGGCCACACAACCCCATTTTTCCTTTCGGGCCATCGCTTTAGTCTTCCTCCCCTTTCCACTAGCAGCCTTTGCAGATGAAGGGAGTGCAACATTCTACACACCTCCTTACGTTCGTAAGTCACTTCTCTTTCTTTTTTTTTTTTTTTCTGCTATACACACACACACACACACACACATAGATAATGATCAATAAACTATATATATTCAATATAGTAGTTTATTATAATGAATAATAAACTATATTAGCTTTCGAATAATGCACACGCGGAAATAAAAATACCCAAGATAAGTCAGAAAATTAAGAGGACACTATAGAACACCCAAAGTGGGAGACCTAAGAAATAAATCTTTTTATTTGGTAATGATTGACTTCTAGAGCTCTTAGTTAAAAGAATTTTGAAGCAATCAAGTGTATCTAATTAGATTAGGCCTTATTGGTTAAGTCTGTACTTTTAGATTTCAGGTATCATTATTTCTAATGTTTTTTTCCAACAAGAGCTAAATTAACATTTGGGGACGAAGTCAGGAATTAAGTAGAGGTTCATATTAAGTGGAAGAATTTATCCATTACTAGTTAGGACAAGTTTTTGCTCGCCTTCCTTTATGTCACCCATTTTGTGTTGTTATACCCTAATCAAGTTTCATCAATTAGCTTGATTTCATGAGTCTAAATAATATCCTCATATACTTTTTTCCATAGTGGGAAATCATCTCAACTATTTATTTTTTGATTCGTCGTAGTTGTAATACAATCTTCGAGCACAAGAACCCATATTTTTTACCATGTGTATTGATTAACTGAAATTCGAGCTTAGAAACTTGGGTACTATATCTGAGTAAATCCCGGGATTAACAATCAGTGCTCACTTCTGCCCTCAGGTGGTTGTGGATTTAAATCTCGTCCTTTCCCCCATCCATTCTCCTCCTCCAAAAACGGTTTTTTTTTTTTAACGAGATAATCTAAGTTACTAACTCCTATTAGACATTTCTCAAAATTAACAACATCTAAGTGGGTTAAGGAATGGAAGAGAATTACTCTGTTTATTTCTTCTTTTGGTGACGCAACTTCTGCTTGTAATGGATATAATGATGATGGTGTGATGATTGCGGCTGCAAGTGATGCAATCTGGGACAATGGTGGTGCATGTGGAACAAGGTATAGTGTCACTTGCCTTAGTGGGACCAACCTGGGCGAGCCCCACCCCTGCAACGGCAACTCGGTCATTGTGACGATTGTCGAGTACTGCCCGCCACCTGGATGCCGAGGCACTCTCGACTTATCACAGGAAGCTTTTTCCTCCATTGCCAATCGGGATGCTGGCAAAATAAACATACACTTTTAGCGTTCTTTTACGCCAATGTCAGATTATTTATCCATTTTTCTTTTCTTTTCTTTTTCCTTTCATGCAGCCTATAAAGCATCAAAGATGGATAGGCTTATGATCATAAGTGGGTAGACTTTTGGATATTGAAATTTTTTTCCATATCCTGCAGCAGTGTCCTGTGGAAACACAATTCTTGCATTTTCTTTTTTTCTTTTTTCTTCTTTTTTTTTTGCTTTCTTGCTTCATGTAGTCACTTTCATATTTAAACTGCGTTTGTTTTTCTATCATGTTGCTTCAATTTTATCCCCGTTTTCTTGATTAATGTCTAAGAATAGAAAATTCACAATATGTAATAGTCAATTGCGAATCTTCTACTTTTTGAAGTGACGGGGTGACCGAGTGGTAAGGTTCACTTTTACCTGTAAGTGGTAAGGGTTCCAATTTCAACCCGTTTCTCCCAAAAAAATGAAAAATTTCACCATATGTAATATTCGGTACTGTCGAAGAATTAAACTTTATATGTTATTTAGTAATCCTACTTTTGTGTTGGGAATATGCATGCACAATTTGATCCACCATCGCCACAACCTGCTGCAAGCACACCACCAAAGACCACACCCACTGTAATGGATCCACCGCAAATCACACTCATCGTCAACACACCTGATTCAACCACCACGTACCTTCATTACCATTCCCATTGATAATGGTAAATTAGGCACGAGTTCGGTAGAGGAATGCTGCTCCCAGAAGGAGGAGCCCCGCAGTTCGAAAAAGCCCAACTTGTAGTTCATTGCTCACCCAGCTTAGCAGCCCCTTAGCTCCGCATGCTATGACTAATTAAAACCAATTGAAATATCCACGCTCGAGGGCACCACATCTTTTCTATTATGGTACCTCCCATTCAAATAGTAGTTGAAGATTTTCCAACGGTCTAATCTTCTGGCCTATTAAAAAGCCAGGCTAGGCATCATTGGGGTTAGCTAACTACTCACTACTCCTAGCTAAATACTAATACATTCAATCATTTCTAAACAAATTTATGATTGGATGGTCCTCGATCAATCCTTTATAAACGAAACAACCCCGCTGCTGGCTCAAGCACAATTCCGATCAACCTTCACGGTGAACAGTTTGGGATCAATAGTTGACACCGTTTGCAGGAAATGTCACGTTTGCAATTTATATTCACAAAACTCCAGATCTCATGACTATCACTAGATCATAGTTAGATCTATCATTATGGTCTAATTAGCAATATTAATTTAGAATGAGTTTCTATCCCGGGCAAGAATTTTTAAATTATACTGTGACAAATAAATACTTATTATCTCGATAACAAATCATGAACTAGTTTATCTTATTGAATTCTTTGACCACGTAAATTGGAACCCAAAAGGTGTCCCACGTGTATAATCAGCATCGGCTACAATANATCAAACTCCGATAAAATTAGGATATGACAGAGTAATGACTGAAGGGGATTCAAAAAAATTCTTGGATGGTTTGGGTAGTATTGAACCAATTTTTTTTGATACTGGAAACTTTGTGGAACAAGTCCAAGCTCATAGGAATCTATTTACAGATTTTTGAGTGAATTGGACAAGTCATTCTGGAAACGATATTGTTGATTATCCTAGCTTATGTTTGCTTTGACATGTACTTGATAGTACCCAGAGTAATTTCAAAGCATGCGGTCAAACCAGTACCCAGAGTAATTTCAAAGCATGCGGTCAAACCAGTAGGTCAGACGAGCAGGTCTGAAAATTGAGTCAGGGAAGACATGCAAAGCCTAGGTCAAAGCTAGAGCTCTTTCCCCCCAGGCGTGCCAATAGCAGAAGTGATAAGGAAACAACTGGATGATAACAGAAAGCTGTTAGGTGGCAAAGAGCCATGTTCAAGGCGTAAAACCCTTGATCAGCCAAGATCTTCTCCCAAGATTAAGGTGAGTTCCTCGGATAAACAGCGAGGATCTCGGAGTAGATCCCATAGAACTCGGAACAACCCTATAAATATTATGTAACTCTTCCAAGGAGGGGGACCCTTAGTATCATATATCCTACCCTGTAAACCTTCTGAATGAAGAATAAAGAGAAAAGGAGAAAGAGTCTCCATTAAAGAGTGGATTAGCCGAGCTCTCGAGCTGGTGAACCACTATAATTCTATTGTGTCAATCCCCCAATTTCCCATCGATCGCCCTTTCGAGCCTCGTAGCTCAGATCCTAGTAGTCGGATACTGATCATACCATCTGCTAATTACCATAAATTTACATCACATTGAGTTACACTATCAGTTTTTCACCATTTGTGGGAACGATTGTTCATGTAACAAATACGTTGATCTTTCAGTGACTGATGGTTTCAACCTGTAACATGAGCAAAACCCAAACCAATCAACCACGGATGCAAGAACAACAGGAAAGCACCAACGATAGACAGCCTGAAAACGTCCTAGGGGCAAATCCCCCCATGGGGAATCCCCACGCAAATAATGAGTTGGAGGCTCTTCGTCTAGTTAATCAACGTCTGATACAACAAAATGAAGAGCTCTTAAAGCTCTTGCAACGCCCCGAGGAGCACGATTAGTCCAAGAAGGCCAGAATAACCCCCCTCATAAAGGGCAGCAGCATCTCGACCCCCTCAGAAAAGTTGGTGAAGGAGGGGAAAATAGTCAGACCTGGGGACAAGATCCACCCCCAAGGAATGGACGCAACGAAGAGGTGCAANCAGATGGCAGCAACATCTCGACTCTCTCAGAGAAGTTGGTGAAGGAAGGGAAAACAGTCAAACCTGGAGACAAGATCCTCATCCACCCCCATGGAATGGACGCAACGAAGAGGTGCAAAGTCAAAATGTTGAGGAAGAAATGAATGATTTTCTCCCCTATCAACAGAAGAGGAGAGAGAAGTACTGGGTGCAGCGTTTTAATGGCATCCAACAAGAGCTCAGCTATATGAAGGAAGCTGTGAAGAATAAGGTTCCAGTTACAATGGATGCCCTAGTACAACAAATTGAGTCGTCATTCTCCGCAGGGGTGTTGCATTTTCCCCTCCCCCCAAAATTTAGAATGCTGCAGATAGAAGCTTTTGATGGGACAAAGGACCTCATGGACCACCTAAATACTTATAAAAACCAGATGGAGCTCCATAGATACCAAGACCCAGTGCACTGTAGAGCCTTCGCCATCACGCTAAAAGGGCCAGCCCTGGCATGGTTCAATAGGCTCCCCCGGCCTCGATCTCCTCCTTTAAAGAGCTTTCTATATTCTTTGTATCTCACTTCATAGGAGCTCGGATATTCCAGAAGTCAAGCTACCATTTATTGAACGTGAAGCAAGGACCCCAAGAGAACCTCAGGTCTTATGTCCAGCGGTTCAACTCGGAGTCACTAAAAGTGGATGTCCAAGATGAAAAGTTTGCCATTACAGCATTTATAGCTGGCCTGGGCGTACAATCCAAAGATCTGATGTTCTCTATTTCAAAGAACCCTCAGGTAAGCATGACTGAGGTATTGGCTACGGCAGAAAAATACATAAACGGTGAAGAAGCCCTTCTCTCAAAAGTGGGAAGTTCATCTACCCAAAAAGACAAAAGGAAAGAGGAAAGAACAAGGGACCGAAGTCCCTTAAGAGAAAGAGGGCGAGATAGGTCTCCAAGAAGGGACAGAGATCACTCCCCCAAAAGGAGGGGAGATGTCAAAGATCACTTAGGTCTGCCATAGTCAGAGCTACAACCAAGGTACGCACCTCAGAAGCTCCCCCCACTCACCGCAACAATATCTCAAATTTTATACGAGGTGCAGAGCGAGAAGTTTCTAAGGTGGCCANTCAGAGCTACAACCAAGGTACACACCTCAGAAGCTCCCCCCACTCACCGCAACGATATCTCAAATTTTATACGAGGTGCAGAGCGAGAAGTTTCTAAGGTGGCCACCTCGAATGAAAACAGACCCAACAAAGAGAGATCCCACAAAGTATTGCGAATACCATAGAGATCATGGCCACCATACTGATGATTGTATTCAATTGAAGAAAGAGATTGAGTTCCTGATCCAGCGTGGTCAATTGCGCCGTTATGTAGCTCGGGATAATCAGGA